AGTGGGAGTGGGGTGGAGGGAGTCAATGGGGGAAAAAAGGGGCACATCTGGAATACTTTCAACAATAAGGATAAATTTTTTAAAAAGAATACTAAAGGTGTGAATGTATCCGTCTTCATGGTTCCCTTTACTAACAGAACTTTTCAATTCATTAACCTACTGGTTTTGATCATAGCAGATAAGATTGTATCTGTCATGCTCTGAAGTAAGGTAATGTAGACAATATTCTTGCTACATGGAAATAATCAAACAGTCAGGGTTTAGGAAGTAGATTACATGTCGTCACCAAGAGCAGAAAAAACTTTGCAAATGAAAAAAGAAATACTCACCACAGGTAAATACCCTATTCTGAGACATCTGTTCTCATTAAGCATAACAGAAGCAATCACATAACGTTTGCCATACGTTTTTGTACAAATCTTACATTTCTTAAAGATTGATGACATAAACTTGGGATTATATGAACAAAGCAAGAAAATAATACTTACCTAAACCATAGACAAAATAATATATCCATGATAATCTACAAACTGACCACTTACTGATATTTTAATGTACCACAGAGCTATATGATAGAATGAATATTTATAGATTCTCCACAGAAACATTTTTTCTCAAAGACTCTGAATAATAGTAAGAATTTTTCAAATTTTAAAATACCTCCTATGAATATAAATACACAGATTCATAAAATAATGTTTTTAAATAAATACCAATAAGTTTTGTCTTTAAACCAATGTGATTATGGTTCACAAAACTACGCTCCTTAAATAAAACTGATGATTTGTTAATGATAATGATATATAGGCAAAATTGTAAATAAAATAAACAAATGAATTGCATAGGTGCTGAGACCCTATCTTTAAAATAAATCCTGCAAACGTCTCTAAAAACGACTTGTGCTTTATTTTAAGCCAGAACTGCAACCTCTATGATAAATTCACACAGTAGAGCATTTAAGTCGGTACTGCCACCAAGAGCCTAACCCAGTTAGTCTTAAGATTCCTGCAGCAGCTATGAGCATATTTCTTCACTGTTATTATAAGCATTCTGGAAACAGGCTAAGGGCAAACTGCTTCAACCATAAATGGCTATAAGAGGACCACAATTTAGACATGACAATAAAGTCTCAAAGGCATTAATAAAACATCAAGAATCCTACCAGCTCACTGGAAGTTCATGAAGTCTAAATATGGTACTCAGCTTGTAGTCAAATTTTGCTGGAGAATCGTTTTTTTTATGTAAATACAGGTTTGGATTTGGTTGCATATCTGCAGGAAATTCTGAATCCTAGAGGAAAAATAAAGCAAGAGCTCCATGTAAAGTAGCCATATCACATTAATATTGTCTCATTTAATATTAAATTACATAAATATTACTACTATATTCCCTCAGGACTTAAACCTTAAGTCCTTCATTTCCTCTTTTAGTTTTGAGAAAATACACAAAAAAGATAAATTTTTAAACAAGGAACATATCTATTAGCATAAGTCTAAACTGAATGCTACATGATAAAAGTTATTTGAAAACATTCCCATACTGAATTACAATACAGTGTTCTCACATCATTCAATCATCGTTTTTCAACAAGTTTCCATTCCCAACAGTAATGTTAGCAAAATCTGGGCTTATTCTTACACTCCATTTGTACTCTACAAATGGTAAACTAAAAATACTTTCATTGAGTAGCAAAATAATACTCTGCTAATTGACAAATTATAATTTTCTTCTTTTAAATCTGAGGACACGGGGCTGACTTAAGAGGTTTCTGTCACAATTATTTTAATCTCACACTCATGAGAATCCATGTGTGCTCTGTATTAGTCAGCTCCCTCCCCACCACGCAAACTCTAACTAGGGATCAAAGGTCATTTTCAGTCTATGGGAAGGTAGTCTCCCCTCAGTGCTAAGAAGACATGCTATAAATTAATTGGTCATCTCTACAAGATAAGGAAGTACTTGATCCTCTAACATTTAATGCTTTAAAATGGCTTTTAGAGAGGGAGGCATATCATTCATTTGTGCACTCACTCATTTATTCAAAAAATATTTACAAGTGTACTTTATGCAAACAGTAGTCTAGGCATAGGGAATGGACCACTGAATCAAGCAGATAAAAAGACTTGTCCTCATGGAGACTGCATTGCAATGGGTTCTTTAATATATCCTCAGAGCTGGAAAAACTTACAAATAAAGCATTTTACTGATTAACAAAGTAATCCATGTGCATATAGAAATTTCATGAATTTCCTAACACTACAAAGAGAAAAATCAAAAGCAAGCTTATTCTCACCATCCAGATGAAACTACTAATAAGACTTTGGTTTAATAATTTATCAGACTCTTTTTCTCAATTTTTACAAAATTGAGATCCTGCTCTATTATGCCCCCTCCAGTTTTCATTTAGCATCATATCACATTATTACTCTGCTTTGAAAGAATGGTAAATGCCGTATTTTATATAACACTGTTATTTTTCCCTTATAATTATCAATGCTATGAACATAGTTTTCTGCCTACAAATCTGCACTTCACTGACTATATCCTTAAAGTACAGTTCTAGAAGTGTAAATAAATAATAATTTGAATAAAATAAATATTTAACAAAAAATATGATACTTCACAGACTGTTCTTCAGAAATGTTATGCAAATTCATGCTCCAGGCAGTCGTACAGTACTGTGTGCGATTCACCACATCTGTGCTAACTGTGCACGTGGGCATGTGTGCACACACACACTCCTATTTAAAGTAATCCATTCAATAATTATTTGACTAATATTTATTGTTGAGTGCCTATTTCATGACAGGCACTGGTTTCAGTTCTTACAAAATATCACTGAACGAAACAGACAGAATACCCTCCCTTGTGGAGCTTACATACTGAACAGTGCTCACCAATGGACACAGTAAACGACCTGACCAAAGGGAAGAGAATTACTTTTTATATTATACCTTCTCTTACTGCTTGAAAATTTACCATATCTATGCATTATTTTTAAGTTTTCAAATAAAGTAATGTATGTAAGGAAGTTAGCCCTGCACATATTAAATGCTGTCAATTTGTACCTAGTATTTTCAAACCATGGTTTAACTAGATATGATGCAGGCAAAAGCCTAGATGTAAATGACAATTCAAAACAAAGCAAGTTTTGTAGGTTTAATGGAGACTACTAAGACATCTTTCTTCTACATTTCCCAGCCTGCCTTGCAGTTAAATTGAGTTAAACTGATGGGATGTGAGTAGAAATGAAATAAGCCACTTCTGGTCCTAACCTTTAAACATCCCAATGTTGTTCACCGTTTCTCTTCTGCCACCACTATGACTTTAAAGAGCTACCAAGTGGCTGCCCATGTCCCTGAGTCACTGAATAGAGGAGAGCCACACAGAGGAGTCACACCACCAAGAAGGAAGCTTAGCTGCAAGAGCACTTGGGATTCGGGGCTTAACTCTTGTAGCAGCTAATACTGTTTGTCCTGACCAGTAGAGTTGGGAAGGGATGATGATTAGTCACTGGGCATTTAAATGAATTTTTAAAGACACAAGGTTAAAAGATGAATGTTTTAAGAGAGGCACTGAATTAAGTAACTATGTTAAAACAAATTTGAGTCTGGTTTTTCTCTCCTTGTCTTAAATCCCCCAGGGAAGAGGAAATTACCAGAAATAGGAAAGTTTTGTTCAGGCGCCTGTGCCCTCATTATTTCATTCATCGCTCCAGTGGTCCGTTGCCTGCTGACAAACTCCATGCATCACTGCCTAGGAACGACTGACAGCTGACATTATCAGCAAGACCTGATTGAGCTAACTGACATTCAGTCTGAGTATGAAAATGGAGTAAGGGAAAGCCTTCCTTACTTACTTATGTATTTGTTCAATTTCTTGACCTTTATGTTTGTCTGCATTACTGTGGCCTTAGATTGCCATAAGAATTATGCTTGCAAAATGCTGTTTTCACATGTATTTAAGAATTTTTTATATAATACTCCCAAAGTATCTAATTACTCTTTAAATTTCTACTCTATATGATTTTATCAAGCAGAGTAGTTTTAATATATTTTAAAGCTATCACTGAGTCATCCTTTGACCTATATCAAACTAGACTAAAGCAAAAAGACTAACAAAATAAAATTTACACTCAATAAACTATCACTTGGAAATCCTAGTTCATTATATTTTACAGTATATTTCTAGACTAACATGCTTATTTGTTCTATAAACTAATAGAACAGACACTGAAAATCTGCGTGACTTAAAAACATAGGGAATGACGAGTAGATTTATAACTTCTCTTAGCAGATTTTTAATGCATGTCTTTGTCTCTGGTGCGATTCCATGTTATTGGCTTCCTTAGAGGTATAAATCTACATTTTTGATGACCGAAGTCATCAGAAGACTCAATATGGATTATTCAATAAACATTGTAAAAACTGGTTTAACTATTTGGGAAGAGAAGATAGACTATTTCATTTTATTCTGCTCCCAAATTAATTCCAGATGGATTAGAGTTCCATGTTTTTTAAAAAAGAATATTATGAAAGAACCAGAAAGCACATGAGTAAATATTTATATGATCTTGAAATATGGAAGCCCTTTCTAAGTGTAATATTAGGTAAGAAATTGTGAAGTAAAAAAGTAATATTTGATTAAATATTTTTTAAACTTATAAAATGAAATAAAAGAAAAAATTGCCAGGAAAATGTTGATATGTTAAAGTAATAATATAATTACATATAAAGAGATTTTAAAATAAATAATAAAAAATTAACTCTTTAGAAGAAAAGGTACAGAGATTATAGATGTATAAGTCACCCATTAAGTGGATAGTAAGCACACTATAAAGATACAATCTCGCTCTTAATTAATGAATACAAATAAAAATAACGAGACATGTTATTCATTTGAAAATTGGTAAGCTATATTTTTAAATGAGGAAACTGGTGAGGGGCACTGACACAGGTACCCTCATATACTGCCAGTGGTAATATAAACTGATCTAAACTTTCTATAAATAAATTTGGTCATATGTACCAGTTTAAAGATGATTAAATACCTCTTATCCATAAGTCTATTCCTAAAAATGTGTCCTAAGAAAATATTCAGACCAATTTGCTAGGGTGTGTATATAAGTATTTATATGGACCATTATTTATTATATAGTAAAGTACTTAAAACAGCTAAATTCCAATAAAAACGGATTAATTGAATTATAGCGCCCCACGCTTCCAGGTAATGAGACACTATTTATCTATTAATTATTATATTCACAAAGAACATTTATGGACTTAGAAATGTATCCACATCCCACAAAGGACACTGTGTGGTGAGCATATATGTAAATGTGCAGCCGGAAGGAAGTGTGTCAGGATACTAATCGTAACTGCCTCTGCATGCTTTTTATTTTAGTTTCTACTCATTTCTGCATCTTCGAGCACAGCTGGGTTGTGTAGCCTTCCACTTCTCTGGAAGCCATCCTCTGGTGGCTCCCATAGTACCCAGGAGCCCAAACAGGTGCTAATCCAACCCCAAGCAGATAAAAGGAGGTCCGGGGTCACTCATACAGTATCTGGTTACTGCTTTTGCACAGCTATTAAAATATAGCTGTTTATTTCCCCAATGGTTTTAAAACAGGTCAGTTCACTATTTGAAGAAACAGTTATAAGATCTTTCTAAATTCTATTTGACACAAAAAATGTAAGCAATTAATTGAAACATGACAGAAGTCAGTGAATTGGACATTTGCCAGTAAAAAATCTAGGTTTGCAAAGTAAGGCAATTCTCTACTAGTGGTTTTATTTGAAAATGAGTGTTTTCTAAACCTTCATTCATTATCCTCACTTAGCAGCATGTAAACTAAAATTAATAGGAGCAGAAATTTCAATGACTTTTGGATTATATCTCTCTCACGATGATTTTCACTTAAACACCTGTGTGAACTCTATGGCGTAGAGACTAACAGTAAGTCTTGCAAAGGTTAAATTTGCCTGAAGATATAGCTGACCAGCTAGAAATTGCTGGATTGATGACTTGTCTAGTTGCACTCCCTAAGTAATATATTCCGTAGCTGGTGGGCTTCCAAAATTAAGAAGCATGCGTTTTTGTAATTGAAATTGCAACATTTAGCTCAGCTATCTTGTCCTGAGTTTAATAGTGTTAAATTAATAAGTATAATTTAGTAAAAATTAAGTCATCCAATTTTACATTTATATAAAGCTTGTTATGGAATAATGCAGATATCTAAAAAGTGTCAATTATATACCACATGTAAAATAAGGCTATACAATAAATCCTAA